CGCGAGGCGCCGCGGCCTCGCTCACCCGCGGGCCCCGCAGTCGCCGCAGCAGCGCGTCCTCGTCGTCCTCGACGTCGCCGAACACCAGCTCCTCCAGGCAGCGCTCCACGGCCGGCCGGTCCTCCTCCAGCGCCAGGCGGTTCCGCTGCCGGAGCCGCCTCTCCTCCTCCGCCGCCGCGATGGCGATCTCAGCAGGCGGAGCGCTCGGCGGGGCCGGCGGTTTCCGCTGGGATGAAGGAGCCGTCTTTCGGGGCGGCCCTCCCGACTTCGCGCGGGTCCTGCGGTCCGGCCTCGCTCCGGGTCTCCGACCCGCTTTCACGCGGCTCCTCCGTTCCGGCGGCATCGTAGGGTTGGAGAAGAAACGCAGGCGCTCACGTGGAACCTCGCTGCGCATGCGCGGAGGCGCTCAGCGGGTCCCAGCCACCGAACCCCCGAGGGGCCGGAAGGAGCCTGCGCGGCTGGTAGCACGTGACCGGCCTTCGCTTCCCTACGTAACGCCCACTCCCCTCTCGAGCCCCTCCCCGTGTGGGAGTTCCGCCGGGAGAGCCAATCTTCCGGGTGTAGGGGGAAGCGGCGTGACTGGAGTGGAAAGTCTTTTCCGCCACAATTTAGCAGCTGCAACTTAAATGAAAGGGGCACAGGAAATCCAGAGTATAAGTTGAGATGACCGAATGAACCTTCTTAACTCCTCCCCCTGGCCTTTTAATCACTCGCCCTAGCACGCGCCCCAGTTGCCTTTTCCACCCCTTCGTCTTGGTACGGTCCGTAGAGTACGGAGCCTGCGGAGGGTCCCACGCTGGAAGAGAGAAAGGAGGGTATGTGGGGAAGTGGGCCAATCGGGGCGCGGGTCACGGCGCAGGCGCGCTGGGGAGGGAGGGCTATGCTAATGTTGTTGATATCCTGGGGCCACCCGAGTTAAAGGGGGGAAATCCGGGGGCTGCTGCAGCCGCCACCGGTCTGGGCCCAACAGGGGCCCCCCTGTAGTCGCCGTAATCCCGGGGAGAGGCGCCAGCCCCCGGCTCGGGGAGGGGGCGCCGCGGGCCCGGGGAGCACGGACAACCCCTACCCATGAGGCCCTGATGGAAAACACAAAGGATCTGGTGAGAGCCGAGCGCGGCAGCCGCTTTGTGTGCTAGGTGGGGGGGACGCCTGCAGCTCCCCGACCCCAGGAACCCTGCAGCTCACTGACCCCCTCCCAGGCCTGCTTCCCTATCCCACGCCCCCTCAACCTCCGGAGCCCCCCTCCCCCTACCGGCCGTTAACGATTCAGGGGTTCCCCTCCCCCCACCCTTCACCCACGGGCTCGTCGGGGTTCTGTCTACTCCCTCCACTCTCTGGAAGAAAAATTTTAGAAGAAAGTTTTTCTTTGCGTCCCGCCCCCCCCCCCTTTCAGCGCTATTTGGGAGGGGAAACTGTATTTGAGACTTTCCCTTTTTCCTTTTTTTTTTTTTTTTTAACCGCCCAGGGTGGAAAGTAGAGCCCTTGCTGCCCCCAAAGGAGGAGGTAGCGGAGTCTTTGCAGGGGAAAGCGCCTCTCGGATTGGGGGCCAGTGCCGCCGAGCGTTTTGCACGTGGAGGTGGAAATATTGAAAGGGGGCGGGGTGGGCACGTGTGGGAGGGAGAGGTGGGAGTGGTGTTTCGGGAGCCGCCGCCTTGGCCGCCTTCTTGGCGAGGGTTCCGGGTTTATGGGCTTCTGTGACAGTCGCGTTCTCTTTTGTGAAATAAGAATCCTAACGTTTCAGAGTCGGAAGAGACATTAGAGGTCACCCAAAGCAGCCGTCCCCTCCGCAGCCTCTCTGAAAAGTGGTAGGTAGTCTGACCTCTGTTTACACCCCTCCACACTCCCGAGTAGCTCCCCGCTGCTGCCTGTTCGCTTTTCCAGTTGTTCTAATTGTCTGCTTACCCTCGTTAGACCCTTCAGTCTCATTCATGTGCTCGTTAAGTTGCTCCTTTTTTTACTTCTCAAATTTTCTCTCACATCCTCCTCACCCACCCACCGCTCATTTGGCCTATATTTTTTGTGTGCCAAGTAAGAACAGCAGGGAAGTGCAGGAAGAAGGATTTGAGAGAGAGTGAGGCCAAAAACTTTGCTGGGTCATTTTCACATATGCAGGCTCATGTGTATAAGAGTGGCTGATGTTTTTCTCCAGGAAGCTTGGGGATGAGGACCTGGGGATTTCACGGTTGTTTTCTCATAGTGTATCTTTTTGAAGTTAGCAATTTCGGCATAGTCTCTATGTACTCAAGCATATTTGCTTGTTGCTTTTAAATCACTTTCCCTAAGGATGCCTAAAATTGCCTCTTGGGGGTAGTACTGAAACTGTTAAAAGCTTCTCCAGGCTGAGCGGTAATTAGAACTGCTTCCCCACCTCTTCCTCTTAATCAGTGTATTCCTTGCAAACTGGACTTCCTTCTCAGAGCTCCTCCTTCACAATGCTTTCATTTCCCCCCACCCCCACCCCCCATTCTTAAGATAGTTGAAATTTTGCAACAGTACAATATTTGCTTAGAGTTTGCAATATTTTTAATGCTCTTTGTATGCTCCAGAATTTTACATTCAGTACTCCAGACACTTCCGTTTATTCCACGTCACTTAAGTGTTTTGCTAGTGTTCTCCTTTACTTGGTGAACAGTGTTGCCTCAAAAAGTAGTTTTATTATCATAAAAATTGGGGGGAGGGGTGGGGGAAAGATGGACTGCCTGCATGGTTTCCTCTTCCAAATGTGATTTGGGAGTCAAAATAAAGGTTAAATAAGATGTAGAAGTAATGAGCTTCATACAGGAACCTGGGGAAGAAATTTCACTTCACACTCCCAGTGCCCTGTCTAAAATGTTTCAGGATAGACTTCTTTCCTCTCTCCTTTGCACTAAGAGACTTGCTCTTGCTCTGCTCTAGTGTGCTTTTTTTTTTTTTTTTTTGTCCTGTTTGTTTAGCTCAACACCAAAGAGTGTTTAGAAAGAAAATAGCTGTGTCTTTTTTGCACCACCTCCTTCTCTGAATAACAAGTAGCTTCTATTTATATAAAACCCCATACTTGAGGCTTTTGAATGCTTTGCAAATTATGGCAAAAACTGTCTGGAATAAGTTATCTGTTCATAATTATCTTATGTTGGGCCATATTTGTTAACTGTTCAATTTTCACTTTTATACAAACCTTGACATCTATTTCCTCTAAATCTAGTTACTAGTATTTAAAATGGAAATGAGTACTAGATACTAAATGAAATAATAGAGCTATAGAATTTTGCTTTTAGAATTTTAATTAATATGGAGCCTGCTTACTTTAAACATGAACTGTCATGACTTAAGCTGACTTTGGAGACATTTGCATTCTAAACGTACTAGACAGGAACAACTGGTTTTATTTTTAAAGACACTGCTCTATTTTTTTATGGCTGGTTTTATGTTGACCTGATTAGTATCTATACCTTTTTTGATGTTCTGGTGCTTCTAAATCCCTCAGTTACATTGGAAATTAAACACAATTTGTTATAAAACATAGTAGTCAAAAGTAGGTAAATCTATAGCTTAGAAGTGAAAACAACATACTAATGTCATACGAACCACTAAATTACTAAAAGCCCAGAATGCTCAGTGGTTGGAATAACCACAATCTAAAATTAGACTAGTTTTTGCTTTTGTTGCTGCTTTCACAATTTTTTATCTTGAAAATGTTTACTAAATAAGACTTAAAGTTTTCAAATTTATCGTTTTAAGGTTACCTGGCTAAAATGTAGTGTTAGTCTTAGGGTTTCAAATCTGAAAGAGATTAGAAATTGGGACAGTAGACCAGGAAGGACTTAAAGTAGTTCAACTAAAATATACTCTGCTACCAGGGCATGTTTAAGTGTCCAAGACTACTTGTTTTGATTAGGCCAGGACCACTTTTAATTTTATTCAAAAATTGCTGGCTGGTTTTGATGTTTTAAAATCATAATTTTTTAAAAAATAAACTTTTAGGATGTTTTGCCCCCACAAATTTAGACGTACGCTTCTTGTTTTGCTGGAACCCTCCAGGAATGATGGGGGGGAATAACTCCTATTTGAATGAACACTAAATTTGAGATGAAATGAATGAGAAGGGCCCTGCCATTCTAGGGTATATGGTATTAGTTTTGCCACTTACTACATAGTGCTTATTGGATAACATTCTGCTACCTCAGTTTATCCTCATCTGCACAGGTAAGGGTTGGTCTAGGGTCAACATCCTCCATTAGAACTTTACATAGTGGTGAAAGTATCAAAGTATCCTGTGCTACTAGCTACACATGGCTAATGAGCACTCCTTAAAAGGTAGCTAGCACAACTGAGTAACCACAAACTTCACCGGTTTAATTTGTATAAATTTAAATATTCTTCATGTTTGTCAGTTATATTTGTAGCTATAGAACAGTGTCAAGGACATAGAACAGGCTTAGTCCGTCACTAGACTCATCTTTTAGGGCTCTCAAAAGCAGATCTTCTTTCCTGGAGACAATTCAGCAGGTCTGTAGTGAAAGCTGGGAGTCATGTTTTTAGCACTTAACCCAGAAAGGTTTTCTTTTTTTTTTTTTCCAGTTTGGCTAAGGGAACCCTGCATCAGGAGATTTCTAAGCTCCTTTCTAGTTCGCACTTTAAAACTAATGACTTAGATTTTAGTGGAGTACAGATGAGTTGTGGGTGAAGATAATAAACTGTTCAGGCTCTAACTCTGTCACCTTCTGACTTGTGATCTTAGACAAGTTGTCTAACCTCTTAAAGCTCCATTTTCCTTGTCTAAAATGTGGGCCAGGCATCAGCCCTGCCTCCCTCTGAGGTTTCTGTAAATCTCTAGTCAGATGTCATAACCGTTGTATAAAATACAAGCTGCTATAAATGATCTTCCCAGAATCCTTTTTAATTTTCCCTTTTCACTGTGTTGCCAATTTCCTACTTCTGTTCTTACAGAACTGGCTCTATACCATGCATTAATTCAGTAATTTCTTATTCCCCTAATGATTTGACCATAAATTCCAGTCTTGTTATAGAATATTAGCACTTGGTATTTCTGATGCTTTGCATAGTGATACATATGTATTGTTCAATAATTATGGATAATAACACCTATCATTTTAACATCTCAAAACTTTAGTTAAGTAGTTTATTTTCTATACCAAAGAAGTAAACCTCTTGTGTGGCAGTAGGTGTGTTTAACCTTGTTTTGTTTCATCATTAATATCCTGTTGTTAATTTCCGATCATTGTACAGCTTTTGAGCAACTACCTCCAAAATATATTTTTGAAAGACAAATACCAGATTGTATCAAATCATTATTATGCAGAATGACATGTTTAACTTAATTCCACTATATTAACATATTAATGAAAGTTCTTATTTGAATTGCTCAAGCTATAGTTCCAACTTAAGA